GCTAGATTTGCATGCAACTCTGGAAGTTGGCTTCTACTTGGGCAACTACTTAATAGATGGCTAGTCTAAACCGGTTCTCTTGGCAAAGACAAAGGTGTGAAGGACAAGCCCCATTGTTCAAGCCCATTAAGCTACTGTTGTCATCAGCCCTGCTTAACACAAATCGAGACAAATGATGAAGTATACACTCCCAGAACCTGCAATGGGATGGCACTGCAAAGTGGCGTGACCTTACATTATTATGGGAAAAGATGAAGACCTCCTGAGTCCATCAATGCAATTGACCATACTTCCTTAACCAAAGGTGGAGATGCAACCCACATGTTTGATTAAATGCTTTGAAAACCTATTTGGACTTTTCGATGTCTCACATTTTTTAGGTTAAAGTTTTACAGGTCTTATCAGCTTCACCACCTGTGGTGTAAGTAGTGCTTTCCTCTGTTTACTCTGAATTTATCTCAGTTGTGCTTCCAGCTGAATTGCCTTTCAGGTAGAAAAATATTGGGTCAATGCAATTGTCAACACTCTGTCCTTTCCTGTTCCAGGTCACACGTTTCCTTTAGTGAGGTTTCCTGCAGCCCTCAGCCCACTCCAACCCCCTTCTTTCTTAACTCATTCTGATTATTCTTGGGGGGAGGGCAAGGGTTCCTCCCTCCCTCTCTCCTTTCCTTCCTTCCTTTCTGCCTCCTTTTTTTTTTTTTTTTTTTTTTTTACATCTGAACACCAGTATTATGTTCAGAACCATCTGAACAATGCTAATCGTTGTGGTTGGGGAAATGTATTTAGTTAATGTCTTCAGGAGACAATCCAAAATGACCTGTAGGTCCTTTGTGATCTGAAACTATTTTGTATGGTTCATCAGCTCCCTGTAACAACCAACTTACACCCAACTTGGATTTTCCAGATCAGTTCCAACTCATGCAATTCCATAATATATGACAACTTCTGGTGGTAAATGTTTTTGTTATAGTTAGGATTATTCTTATCAAATACTTGCTTATGCATTAGTGATCTTCTAAAAACCTTTTCGGGGCATTTTATACATACTTATTTTATGGGGCAACTTTTTTCAAAACTTGCAAAACCTTCCAGAAGCAATAAATGTATCACACTGCTAAGATCAGAAGAACCTAATGACCTCAAAGATATCAGTGGTAATTTCAAGTATTTTATTGGGTTTCTGTTAAGTCTCAGTTCCTGCTAAGCAAATGTTAAGCTCTGGAAATTCCAGAACTATTTATTTTTTCTGTCCAAGAAGTTCATTTTCCATTAACTCCCCCCACAAGATAAACTAGATCATCAGATAGTCTCATTAAAGCAAACTCACAATTTCTAACTCTGCAAGTCAGTACATTTCTAAGAAGAAGTGTTGATCTATGATAAAACAGAGTAAAGTCTGCAGTATGTAAATTTATGGGAACACATTCTCCCCTTTGCCCAGGGAAGGCTTGCTGTGAAAATACACAGACAAAGGTTGCTATTTCTTAATTCTTGACCCTAAATTCTCCACTGACAAGGCCAAGAAGCAGGCAAAGGAAGGAACATGATGGCTTTTTCCCAGAAACCTATTTCCCAGCAGCTGTTCTGTGAATCTCTGAAGAGCCTCAGAAATGAAAGAATGTAGTTTCCTTCAAATCTGACCTTTCCAGGCCAATTTTTATTTAAACCACCTGAGCTGAGCATATTGCTCAGCGCTGGATACTTACCTGGCATGCACAAGGTTCTGGCTTACATTTTCATACTACACAACAAAAAAAAGTTTAAAAATAAAACCTGGACATTTGCGATATCAGTGACACCATGCACTTTTCAAAATGCAAACCAACTGAATAATGTTTATGAAGTTCAAAATAAATGGCTGGTATGATATCAAATTACAAACAAACACTTTGTATATTTAATAAATTCAGCATTCCCTTATAGTATATACTACATTATTAATACTGTGATCATAATCTTATTCACTTTAGATCTGAGTCAAATGGGTCTGAAGGAAGTTAACACACTTACTCAACTAGATGGGAACAAATAGAGACTCACAGCCAGATACATGTACAGAGTGAGAGACCTTGGAACACTTAGTCCTAAAAGAGAAGTCTCCAGCAAATTCACCCCTCACCCAGAGCTCAGGGAACTCTGAGGAAGAGGAGGCAGAAAAGGTGTAAGATCCACAGGGGATGGACCACACCAAGGAAACACACAACAGGATCAATGCACATACAAACTCACATAGATTGTGACAACATGCACAAGGCCTGCACGGGTCTGCGCCAGATGAGGTCTAACCCTGAAGTTATCTCCAATTGATGACCACTGGTGAATGAAAATTGAATTTTCTCCAAGGGAGTCTCACTGGGAAAACAAACTACTCTTAAGGGTAGGATGCATGCCCAGCGATAGATGGTCAACAGAAAACAAATACAAAGGCATCTTTGGAGGATACTTGTCTCATAATGTCATGTCATGGCTTTTGCTTTTTTATTTTGTTTTTAGTTTCATCATATTTTTATTTTATGTATCTCTCTCTCTCTTTCTCTCTCTCTCTCTCTCTCTCTCTCTCTCTCTCTGTGTGTGTGTGTGTGTGTGTGTGTGACACACACAGGTTCCTTGTGTACATTTTATAATTTCCAGTTTAGTGTTTTTGTGTGGGATTCTTGAGTGTGTGAACAAATGGGTCTCTGGGGTTATAGCTGTTTCTTGAGCCTTTTCTTGGGCTTTTCCCCCTTCTGTTTGTTTTGTCCTAATCTGATGTGTTAGTTTTTGTTCTATCTTATCCTATTTCATTTTATTATTATCTTTTAGAAGTTTGCATGTTTTCTAATGAGAGACATACAGAGAGTAAATCCAGATAGGAGAGAAGATAGGGAGTGACTGAGGGGGACACTGACACCAGGATATAGTATACAAGGAGAAAAATCTATTTTCAATAAGACACTTAATCAAGACCTTCAGCTTCTAAGATTCAAAGGAGAAACTGAACCCAGGCTGTTTGGCCCAAGTTCACACTCCATGTACACTCATTATACACAGTGTATCTCAGCAACCTCATCTTAGAACTTGTGTGATACCTGTCCACTGCCTAGCCTATAAAGAGATTCTCTACACATGAAACTAGGAGAGAATGGGAAGATGAGCCATTTCCCTCTCCCACAATTGTCTCCCTGTGCAGGTAAACCCACACCAGTTCACCTGAGGGCTTTGAAAAGCCCTTTACCTCTTCCTGGCAAAGGGGATACGGAGTCCCTTGTAATTTTTCTTTCATTTAAATGTTCTTTTTTTGTTTTAAAGGGTACACAATTTTCTCCAGTTTAAAACACCTGATAATTTATAGTCTTCCATTTCTACTCTTTTGCTCTAATCAAACTGTATACTTTATTTTAAAAAAAAAATGATATTACCCTTTCTTTGAACTGTGCCACTGAGCCAAATCTCAACACCATAATAATCTCAAAGATGGTTTCAACAAATATCATCACATCTCAATCTATAATATGACTTCTGCATATATAGGCCCTCAAAAGAACTGTTACAAAACTCTTCAAAGACCCTAACTCCCCATTACACTAATAACAACAATGTCTTCCTTTTCTCCTAAGCCCATAAGTATCAAGTATCATTCTGGTGTTTTTGTATACCTGATGAAGCATATATGAGTATTATTTATTTTTTTCACAGGTAAATCAACTAAGACTTGGGTAGGAAGATGGCTCAGTGGTTGGGTAAGAGAATGTACTTCCCTTGCAGAGGATGCAAGCTTGGTACTCAGCATCTATGCCTGGTGGCATACAACAGCCTGTAACTTCAGCATGATTTTAAAATAATAAAAATAATTCTTAAAGCAAAAAATAACTAAGATCCAGATTGTCTAATTAACTAATTCAAGTTCACCCACCTAAAAAGTGGTGGGGTCAGGATTTGAATGTAAGTAGTCTAGCTCCAGGCTAGCCAGCATTCAAGCATGATGTTAGTCTCCCCATGAACTATTCAGCTGATAAAATCTATGGTACACTTCAGGCACCTCCAACAAATATCAAATAAAAATTGAGAAAAAAATGTTACACTAAAGAGAACATGGGTAAGACTAAAATGTGGGAACAGACAAACGCAACTCACTTGGCAACATTAGATTGTCAAGGATCTCCTTGCTTTTCTTGAACTTTGGAAAAATAGCTTAGGATTTCAAAGGAGACAGCAATTTTCAGATTTACTCTGTTCTGTGAATGGCAGTAATTTAAATACACAACACCCTTATCATTTGAAAGGAATGAGGCTTCTAAGCTACAGTTTTGGAGGAAAGCATGGGGGGCACAAAATATTTTCTTAAGTAGTTGTCAATTTTCCACCACTTAAATATACTTAAAAGGCACTTCAGGATCTGTGAGAAAAAGTAACTCTAAGTCTTTGTACTTGTCAAGCAAAATATGCTGCTTTCTCAGAGTAGGCTGAGAGTTTTCAGGACTGGTTTAATTATAGCTTTTCTTCTGTGACCTTTGGAAATTCCTCAGAGCTCTGTAACAATGAAAGAAGGAATTCCCGAGTCCAGTTTCACCTAAGCCATGGTTACCTTAATTACTAAGCTGCTGCCTTCACTAAATCTCCACTTGTATTTTTCAGTTAATATGTCATTTGTAGTCCTCAGATAGTCCTGTTGGCATTATAGGCTAAAGAAAATTATTGACTCAATAATTTACATTTCCATGAGTGCTTTGCATGCCAAGTACAATGAGAATAGTGATGGTAACTTTATCAAACATTTTCACTCAGTTCTGGAATCATCTCTGGAATCTGGTCATAGAATTCATTCGTAACAATTTTTTCAAATGAACTCTAAGGTCAATTGAATTTAGTCATGTGGAATAGTAGGATCAGAGCTACAGAGGCAATCATTCAACCTCACACTTCAGAGATTTCTAGGATTCATTCCCCTATCCAGTCTTATAAGCAGTAAGTCTAATCTTTAATAAGCAATCAGTACCCCCTAAGTAGCCTCAAGAACTCACCATCTTTTGGGCATTCTCCTCAGTAATATTGGTGTTATAATTCCAAGAAGCAAGTGAACTTTGATAAGACAGGTCTTCAGCTTCCTGGTTAAACTTGTCTAAAAATGTCTTGGCCTGTTCTTCGATGATGGACTGAGCAGTAGTTACAGCAACAAGGCTGAGCAGGAGCCAGGAGGAGCTTGACATCTTTCCCCCTGCGCCAAGATCCCATCCACTGAGCAACTTTCCCTAGAGTAAAATCTCTTCATGAGATTTTCTCTCTCATCAGCCTTTGAACTTGGGTTGGGCACTGAGAAGGGAAGACAAAAAAAAAAAAAAAAGCAGAAGAAGAAACAGAAGAGAACAGTAAACAAGCTGCTGAACCAATATGAAGTTAATCCTGGAGAGGACAGATATGTAAACAGATTTTTTTAGGATGATTTTTTTTAAGTAAACTAAATAAAGACATGTTATTCATTAATCCTAGAAAACCTTAGCTCTGCTAACATTTTATGGCCAAATCAAAACTTGGACATTCAGTTAATATGTCCCTTAAAAGCTGTTAAAGATACACTGTAGGTTACTATAATTTTACAGTAACAAAAATGAGGCTAGAATTAGAAACCATGGGAGACATATTGGAACTTGCAACTGTCTCTGATAATACTATCAATATGATTTCCATCCTTTCTTTTTTGCTGTTGTTTGTTTGTTTGTTTGTTTGTTTTTCAAGACAGGGTTTCTCTGTAAAGCCCTGACTCTCCTGGATCTCTCTCTGTAGATTAGGCTGGCCTCAAACTCACAGAGATCCTCCTGCCTCTGCCTCCCAAGTGCTGGTATTAAAGGCATGCACCACCACCTCCCATCCCCATTCTTTCTTTTAATTTCAAGAGGATGTTCACAAAATTCACTTCCTTGTTTAACTGTTTAACAGTTTTATTTTTAAATAAGCAACTTTGCCTTTGTCTTCATAAGCTTTATTTAAAAACAATTATTTGTCTTCCAATTTAAGAAATTATAAGACTATTCTCCACTATGTAGTTTTAATCCTCCCATAGTGGCGTTGGCCAACTTTGGAGCTGTCATTTTCTGTTTCTCAGGAGATGTGTTAAACTCTAGTTCCATGGCTGACTTCATCAAGTACCTCTTTCCCTCTGGCTTACCTGCTTAAGACTTAGCTGAGATCACAAGGAAGTAATAATGTGGAATATATTATGAAATCCAAAGCATATCCATGTCAAGTCCTGGGCATCCATAGGCATGGGATCACGGCAAAGTGAAGGTCAAAGAGAATCTACTGGTTATCCCGTTGAAGTTCAGCAGCTGGCTCTGTGTCCTCATTCCCAGGGTATAAGCATGCCATAGATAAAAGAGTGGAGCCACTTTAAATGCCAGGGCTCCTAGGCCTGCTTGATTGTGATGATGAAACCTTCATGCAGAGAAAACATTTCTCCACCCAGAAAAACAAGTCTTCCAGGTTTATACTAAATGGTGATAACTAAGCCTGAAACATAATTCCACTACTTCACTTTATTCCAAACTTGGGCAAACAATTGTAGAATAGGAACCAAAGCAGTAATTGTTCCAAGTGTTTTGTGTTATAACACTTTATTTAAGCATCACAACTTACCTGTGGGCAAATATTTACATCACCATGATATGGACTGTGAAATTGAGCTTAAGTAGCTAAACCTCACTAGGCTAATAAGGGGTGGAACTGGGCCATGAACCCAGGCTGTCTGGATCTAGAGTACAGGCTCCAAGCTCAGTTGTATGCTGCAGTCTGAACAGGAATGAAGCCATACATGGCTAAAGGAGAAGGACTTGTGTCTTTAGTGAAGGTGGTGTATTTGGTTCCACCATATCAAATGTGAATCCAGAAAAAGCAGGTGGAAAATTTAAATAATAACAAAGACATTCAAAGAAAATGACATGAGAGAAAAATTGGTGCAGCCGTGGCAGTAAGGCTCTTCCACACACAAGGAATCTGAAAAATCTTACTGCTTCTCAGAGGCTTAAGGAGAAAAATAGGCAACACAACGGGGAGCAGCATGTGAGTCTCTGAAAAGAACGTTGCATGAGAAAAAGCTGAAAGGAACATCTAATCTGTTCCTGAACACTTGGAGTTAGAGGGGAGTTCAAATTCAGTTTACTGAGACAGAAAATAAGGTTCACACAATCAAATTAAAATGTAGAAATCATGATAGAAAATCCAAGCTAAAAGTAGATGGACAAAAAGACTAAGAAGCAGGGAAATACTAGAAGCCAATACATTCTGAGCAGCAGTGGAATTGTATATAATGATGTTTTATAGAAACTAGCTTCGATGGACCAAAACAAGTACTCACTGAACTGCTGGGATTTTGATTCACTCTTCATTGATGACATAACAATTTTCTGTCACCTAGAAGTATTGTCTCTGAGTCCAATCTGAGAATAGAAAGAATCCTCTAGAGATGGAGGGCATGTAACCCAGGAAAACAATTGGCCTCAAGGAACGTATTATCTTATTGGAGTTGGGGTGTGTTTGATTAAAGTTATAGAGAAGAATTTCACCTTGATGCTTGACAAAATTGTAAAATATAATTTTACTATGTGACCAATAAGCACTTGGAAAATGTCTGTCTGGTCCATAGGGAATTTTCTAAGACAAAGTCAGATGCTGCCTCTAATGAAATAATACAATCCTTTCTTTCCTATATGAAAAATTCCAACAACATTCAATAAAGAATTTAGCAAAAGGTTAATTGCTATGTCTAAAACCAAATGTTCCTGAAAGAACCATATAGTACAGGATTAGGCAGTCTGCTGATGTCATAACCAACAGAAATCTTGATTCCGTTGATGTTTATGGACTATCTACTATGGACTCTGTAGTACATGCATTAATGTATAAGGCAGCATATTCCCACAGGTGGGAAGGGCGTAGGCCCTGCCCAAATAATGTGACAGACTTTGATGGTATCCCATGGAAGGCCTCACCCTCCCTGGGGAATAGATGGGGGTGGGGGTTGGAATGGTGGGGGATGGAGGTCCGTGTAGGACATGGGAGGATGGGAGGGAGAGGGAACAGGGATTGATATGTAAAATAAGATTGTTTCTAACTTAAATAAAAATTTATAAAATAAAAAAAGATTCTCATAGGTATTATATTATGTGATGCTAGGGTATAGGGCATAATTGAGTAGTTTGTGATAAATACTATGACTTGCATTAATCAGAGAGTTGGAGAAAGGAAGAAAAGAGAAAGATGAAGTAGGACGAGAGATCTTTTGTTTAAAAAAGGTGTCTCTGAAAAGGTGTCATCTGGGCAGAAAGATCTGAAAGGATGTGAAGGATATGTGAAGGCCATCAGTGGGGATACTGTTCCAGCTGGGGGTAGCAGCCATGCACAAAGGGTGTAGGCAGATCTCAAGAACATCAGAGACCTGTGTGACAAGATATGAAGGTGAGAAGAAAGCTTGCTTTTACACCAGGAGGGCCTGAAAGAAAATTCCAACTGTGATTTTTACCCTGAGGCCTGTAGGAAGACAATAGAAACCTTCAAGTGGAGAAGTTATATGACAAAAGTTTTTATGCTCTCTGGCTGCTACCCAGAGACCATACTAAGGAGGTGGAGCTTCATGACTTTAGATCTTTAATATACTAGCACCTTGCATATAATTTCTTTCCTACAAAGCTAGTGGTCTTATGGAGATGTTGCATTGTATGAATTTATATTTGAGTAGGAATAAAAGCTACTTACAATGAAACAAGCAGTGTTATAGTCAGCTTCTGTACTGAAAGATCTAAGCAAACTGTCAATCTTTCAGGGACATTCCTTGCATCAGTGGTTGGCTGAGAGCTTGATTCCAGGGTCCATTTGGACTGTAGGATCTTGACTTGTTGGTGTTAACTGGCCTGTGTTAAAATAGGAGGAAAAAGCCCATCTGTGGAAGAAGCAAGTTCATTTGTGAAAGAAAACAAGTCAGAGAAAGAAAGTTGAACTGAGCCTAGCAATAAGCCTGGTTTTCTGATCGCCTAATGGTCAGGTCCAGTTACAAAGCTTCCCCAACACAGAAAAAGAAGAATACTGCTGTACTAAGGGAAAACAGAAAATCATAAACACAAAATGGCTCCCTCCTGATCTTCCCAGATATTATCTTTGTGGTTACACTTCCTTTGCACCAGGCCCTGCACATAAACTCTTTGCCAGACCATTTATATGTGGGAATTGTGAGACCCTTATTACAATTAAGGAAACAACTTGCTAGTGATCTTGTGACTGCACTAAATTCCTACAACTGACAGCATTTGATGCCAGGCTTTTAGGAGATAGATACCTTCTCTCTGTTGAGTCATAGCTTTGGTCACCTACTGACTTCATAGACCTCATAAGTCCTCATCAGTCTGGCATCTTCTGAGAATAAGCAGGCCCACACAAGCAAAACGGAAATGTGATGTTTTGACTACAGCAGTTTTATGCTTTACACCTATTTGAAGTAGAAATATTACTAGGGCAGATTCCGTACTGATTCTGATTTTTCTTAGCTACTACTTTGTGTTGTATTTTTTTTTCTTTCACAAATATTATGTACTGGCCAGTCCATACTGTGGACTCCAGGGCTCTACACTAAATGACTCCAGATGGTTTTATTGCTAAGAATTCTGCTGTGTCTGCACATTCTGAGTTCACATTGCTTCTTGGAGTATCAGCTCTTAGTAGCCCCGCCTACCACAAATATCCCAGCTTTTCATCTGCTGCCAACTAAGACCTAAGCGGAAACTAGATAATCAAGAGGTTCCTTCCTGAAGCTCCCTTTGCTTAGATTTCTACCTCTGGGTGGGTCTTCAATTTGCTTGAACAAAGTACATAGACTTTGAGACCCAGGTTTCCCTTACTACTCAACTTTTTATGTACTTACAACTGAGTCACAAGCAGTAAGGTTGCCACACAATTAGAGCAAAACCCTCTTCTACTTCTCCACATTGGAAATTTTAGAGAAAGGGGAAAGTTTCCTATAACACCTTATGTTAAGATTGATTGAGTAATGTTTCTGACAGGAACAAAATGGGAGATATTAAGAATATAAAACACAGAGAGATTTAAAGTTTACATGATCAGGAATGATATACATTTGGCTTTGGCTACACATTGATCACATACAACAAGTTTTTAAATTCTTTAGAAATAGAACAAGTTTTCTACCTACTTTTTCCTTTTTCCATATTCAGTTGCATAGCAGACCGTTCTGCCTTCAGATAACCTCCACTACCCAACTTGACAAATCTTATCAACAGGGGTCTAATTTGTTAGAATACACTGTGCATTCCTCAGAAGTTGTACTGATTATGAGTGCCTGAAATCTGTTATTCTGTCTTACTTGCCACAGTAACACTAACGTATTTTCACATTCAGGCTACTATGTATTAGACAGTGCTGGAACAGGGGCAGCACTAATATCAGTTTATATCTAAGAACTTAGGAACCCTAAGCGTCTACGTTTTCAAGCTTCCCCCAAAATTAAGGCTTTATTCTACCCAAAACAGGGCACATGACAAAGTTAAGAGAGAAAAGTGGCATGATCACGTTTACATTTGAGAGAAAACACTTTGGCTACTATTCCAAGAATACACTCCATATAAGGCAGAAATCAGCAAGAAATGCATGCATCCAAGTAAGATATGATAGGGTAGCCAGACAGTAGAGGCGGGGGGTGGATCTCTGTGAGTTTGAGTCCAGCCTGGTCTACAGAGTGAGTTCCAGGACAGCCAGGTCTACACAGAAAAATCCTATCTCAAAACAACAAAAAGAGGTAGACAAATTAAAAAAAATAAAGTAAAGGTTACTGAAACAACCTTCCCTAAAGGAATCATCTGTGAAATTAGCATGGTGATGATGCATGGGAATCTTAGGAACTTGACCAGAGGAGCAATTGCCTTCAGTGATTTTCAGCCACATTAGAACTGTCTCAGGAGCACAGGGATACTGTGCTGATGAAAGATGCATATCCAGGAACGGCAACTAACATAAAAGATAGTCAACGTTAAGCGACTTAGACCCAATTCAAAGGAAGGCTTCAGCAATGATGGGCATTGAAAAGACAGTACTAGACTCGTTTTAGAGCCAGATCCTGTCTCTCAGCTCAAGTTTAAAGGTGACTACAAAATTTTCCATGTTGGTCAGTGCTTCCTAATCATCTCTAAATATCTTAGAAAAGCCTTCTCTTTTGTTGGCTTCTATCTCAATGTAAGAATCATGCTTTCTGTTCAACTGAAAATGTTCAGTGGTACTTGTCTTCTTGACAGACTGTGTCTGGAAACCTCATTGTACTCCTCCTCATTCATCTAAGGGCTTTGTCTGGTTTAGGTCATCAATGGGTCTCAGGCAAGGCT